ACGGGACACCCACCGGACACCCACGGGACACCCACGGGGCACCCATGGGTAACCCACGGGGACACCCGCGGGGCACCCACGGGACACCCACGGGGACACCCACGGGACACCCGCGGGGCACCCACGGGACACCCACCGGACACCCACGGGACACCCATGGGTAACCCACGGGGACACCCACGGGATACTCATGGGGCACCCACCGGACACCCACGGGGCACCCACGGGACACCCATGGGTAACCCACGGGGCACCCCCGGGGACACCCACGGGACACCCATGGGTAACCCACGGGGCACCCACGGGACACCCACGGGACACCCACGGGACACCCACGGGACACCCGCGGGGCACCCACGGGGCACCCATGGGGACACTCATGGGACACCCACGGGGACATTCATGGGACACCCACGGGACACCCACCGGACACCCACGGGGCACCCACGGGGCACCCACGGGGACACTCATGGGACACCCACGGGACACCCATGGGTAACCCACGGGGACACTAATGGGACACCCACGGGACACCCATGGGTAACCCACGGGGACACCCACCGGACACCCACGGGGCACCCACGGGGACACTAATGGGACACCCACGGGGCACCCACCGGACACCCACGGGGCACCCACGGGGACACACATGGGACACCCACGGGGACACCCACGGGGACACCCACGGGACACCCACGGGGCACCCACGGGACACCCACGGGGCACCCACGGGGACACCCACGGGACACGGCTCCAGCCCGGCTGTGGCTGGTGGGGCTGGCAGTGCCCCCCCTGTGCCAGGCACCCCTCGGACTCCTGAGCCTGAACCTTCCAGGGCCATTGCACGGGGACAGCCACCCGTGTCCCAAATCCCTGACTTGGGATGCAGAGGGATTTGGGATTTGGGGCCTGAGGGATTGCAGCCCCTGCCGGGGAGGGCTCAGCAGCAGGAGCTGCCCCCTGCCCCAAATTCAGCAGGAGCTGCCCCCTGCCCCAAATTCAGCAGGAGCTGCTCCCCAGCCCCAAATTCAGCAGGAGCTGCTCCCCTGTCCCAAAAGGAGCAGGAGCTGCCCCCTGCCCCAAATTCAGCAGGAGCTGCCCCCTGTCCCAAATTCAGCAGGAGCTGCCCCCTGCCCCAAATTCAGCAGGAGCTGCTCCCCTGTCCCAAATTCAGCAGGAGCTGCTCCCCTGCCCCAAATTCAGCAGGAGCTGCCCCCTGCCCCAAATTCAGCAGGAGCTGCTCCCCTGCCCCAAATTC